GTAAAGTTCAAAAATAACGAGATTCTTTAAAAAAATCTATCTCGGGAACTATTACTATATAGTCGTATAATATTCATTAAAAAATGAAATTGTGGAAAATTTGATCTGCTTTATTTTCGAACTGAACGTTAATTTCCGTACAACGAATAGTTTCTAAGATATTTGCAAAAAAACCGATTTTGTGCGGCATTTTTTCAAGATGGCGCAGCTGGCCATCACACATGGGGAGTTTTAATATATTAAAAAGGACATTATTACAGACTTCTATACACAAATTCAGCTTTACGGCAATTTTTTCCTTTATATTGCTAAAAATCATCTAGTTTTCCTAGACTATTTGTAAATGTAAATGAAATACAAGTTCTCAAAGTGAATTTATCTCATGTTCCTTTAGTTGTAGCCTAACACTCAATTTTTCACTTATAAAATCAAAATAAATATGAAGTAAAAATCTAGATCGAATCTGTCGATTATAAGAATTATTTGCTCCCATATAAAACAATGTGTCATTTTAATATATATATATGTATATATACATATATATACATATATATATATTTTACCCTATTTCTTACAAATAGATATTTGATTGTATTCTGAGAAGATAACAAATTTCTAAACTATGTAGTATTGAGAAGCATTTTAAGTTAATTTAGCAAATATTTAATACGTAGGTAATGCAAGAGAAAATGGAGTTAATATATATTAATATACGTTATTTCTTTTTACAGATGTGCTATACTTATGTTCCAAAGAGAATTTGCAGAACGCTTGGTAGCTAAACCTGATGATAAATTATATTGTCGCTTAAGTATTAACACACAATTATTGGCACGAGTAGATATGTTGATGAAAGTTGGAAAGAATAACTTTAGACCTCCACCTAAAGTAGAATCGAATGTAGTAAGAATTGAACCAAGAAATCCACCACCTCCGATTAATTATCAGGAATGGGATGGTCTGACACGGATTGCTTTCGTGAGAAAAAATAAAACGCTATCTGCAGCTTTTAAACAAACCACAGTTGTTACTATGTTAGAAAAAAATTATAAAATTCATTGTAGTTTGAATAATAAGGTAATTGACACGTTATGTGAGAGATACTAAGTCTGGAAATATTAACCAAATACTTTCTTAGTTAGAAAGACATTAGAATATTTCTTATATAATGTAATACTTTATATTAATTAGCATATATTTATAGATTGTACCAGATAATTTTGATATCAAACAATTGATAGACCATATATTAGAAAAAGCAGATGCTAAGAACAAACGAGCTAGAACTATGGACATAGATGACTTTATCAGGTATAAACAAGTTGATATTATTATAATATAACAGTTTGTAATGTACAAGTGTATATCAACTTTAGTAGATGCACTTGTTCGACATTTAAATCTAAAGTTATTTCTAGCATTAATTTTCTTTATATTTATATATAGACACACGCACACACACACACGCACACATGCACAATATAAACGTAACATTTAGTTTATATATGTTTAGTTATATTTTATGATCATTTATAGGCACTTTATAAACGCAAAAACATCAAAATTAATGGAAATGTATCTTTTTTCAGCTTGTTACATACATTCAATGCGGAAGGTGTGCATTTTATATAAATTTATATATTAGAATACTATTTATATATAAACTAGAAATTTTTATAAATAAAAGATTTTTATAAATATGTAAAATAAATAAGCTTTGTGAAGAAAATTAATTGTTCTATTTTTAAGAAACATTTGTTTTAAAATTAAAATTTCCTCATTATTATCCGAGACAATTCTTACATAATGTTTTACAGAAATAAAACAAAAAAATGACGTACACATCAAAAACTATTCATGTTGCTTAGATTAGCTATACGAGGTCTGGCTATTAAATAACGAGACTGCGCGCGCAGAAGGCGTCCTAGAGGAGTAGGGTGGGAAACGAATGCAGCGTTGGATAGCTGGAAGTGTCTACTATTCCAGTACGAAATACGTTTTTGTCGCAGTAGTAGTATTTTTTCTATAGAGGTTAGAAACGAACTTTTTTCTCGTGCCGATAACAATGTGTGACGAAAAACACGAGCAACGGATCAATGTGAAATTTCTCGTTAAATTAAAAAAAACTCCGACTGAGTGCTATAAGTTGTTGAAAGAGGCCTATGGTGAGAATTCTCTATCTCGTGCGCGTGTTTTCGAATGGTATAAACGGTTTTCTGAAGGCCGAGAGAGCACCGAAGATGACCAACGTCCAGGTCGACCTGTCTCTGTTTCAACTCCGCAAACAGTGACCAAAATCAATGAAATTGTGCGCGGAGATCGTCGTATGAGCATTCGGATGATTGCTGAGACTGTAAACGCCGATAAAGAAACTGTCAGAAAAATTTTACATGACGAATTAAACATGAAGAAAGTCTGTGCGAAGTTGGTCCCAAAAAATTTGACCCCTGACCAAAAGCTCGTCCGTCAACAGATCTGCTCAGATTTTCTTTAGAGGTTAGATGAAGAGCCTGAATTGATGGAAAACATTATCACTTGCGATGAAACCTGGATATTCCAATACGATGTTGAACTAAGCGGCAATCCATGCACTGGAAAACTCCTGCATCGCCAAGAATGAAAAAAGCAAGGATGTCGAAATCAAAATTTAAAGCCATGCTAATCGTTTTTTTCGACATCAACGGCATCGTGATGACTGAATGGGTTCCAGAGGGTCAAACTGTAAACCAAACTTACTATTTGACAGTTTTGGCAACACTGCGAGAGCGAGTTCGTAAGAAACGGCCGGAGTTGTGGAAAAACAAGTCTTGGATCTTGCACCAAGACAACGCACCTGCCCATAACGCGCTGTCTGTGAAGCGTTATTTAGCCGCTAGAGGCACTCCAGTGCTCGAACACGCGCTATACTCGCCTGATTTAGCACCCTGTGACTTTTTCCTGTTTCCGAAGATCAAGTCTGCCTTAAAAGGAACCCGGTTCGAGTCGATGGAAAAGGTGAAGCGAGGAAAATCGGCGGAGCTCCTAAATGCTCTTACAAAAGAAGACTTCCAGCATTGCTTTGACCAATGGAAAAAACGAATGGAACGATGTGTGGCGAGGGGAGGGGAGTACATTGAAGGAGAGCATTCAACTGTAGAATAATTTTTAAAATAAAATTCTTTTTCATAAGCAGTCTCGTTATTTAATAGCCAGACCTCGTAAACACAGACTTATATAAGTCTGTGGCTATAAAGTATGTCGCAGCACATCTTAAAATTATAATGTATATCAGCAAACATACTTAAAGCATTTTTTTTATTGTAACTTGAAAAATATAAAGAGTGCGAAGGGTCTATATTCTTTTGCTTTGGGTTTTAGATTCGTCCCATGAAATATTGATGTATAATTAAAAATTATATTTCTCTCTGCATGACAGATGAAAAATATATAATGTTACACTTAGTACTATTTTATAATATTTCGTTCTTTTTATAATATTTAACATATAATACTTTTACTGATCTATTTTTTTATGTTCTTCCTCTTATATTACAGGCCTCTGGCCTGTGTTACACCTGTCTCATACGTTTGTGGTGCGCAAGCTGATTATTCAACTACCACAAGCATATAGGACCTAGTTTTAATGCTGATTCCATATGACGGATTTTTCGAGGTGTTTTTGTAGACAAGATTGTAGTAAGATACTTTCGGGAGATTGCCTCTTCCGAGAGAAGACACCAGCATAAGTATTTTGGTTTCTATCAGGATCGAACCCGGGATCTCTGACATGATAGACGATAGACCAGTGTCATGCTCGCGCTCTTCTATTTTCTATGTTGATATACTTAATTATTCAGTTTATATATTATAACAATCTATATACGTAAATGTTTGTATAATACAAATTTACAATAATCTTTATGCACATTGATATTTTTATTTTATTGTAATTTCACATTTTTTATTTTTTTAGTTACATCTCTATTATAAAACAAAATTTGTGTGTTTCTAAAACATCATATTTTAGCTCATTCATTTAAAAACGATATTTTGATAATGAAACATTTTATCATTATGCAAAATGTATTGATTATTACGCAATTATGCAAGATATTCATGCATAGCTTCAATTTACGTATAAAATAATCTTTATAATTTTTTATGCGCATATATAAAAAACATTATTTTTAACATATAATATTTCTAGTTTTATTGATATAAACTTCATCCCCACCATACATATATATATATATATATTATATATATATATGTATATATATATATATATATATATATATATATATATATAAAATGCGAATCATAATTAAAATAATTTACACATATTTACAATCTTTGGGATTCCATATGGATCATTATAATATTCCAAAATGCACAATTTCTTTGATCAATATAATTATAATGATATATACACAATATACATATATATGCACAATATACAAATATATATTCTGCATGTATATATCGCTGTGCGCAATGTTATATTCCCATGGAGAGGTAGCGTGACATATAGTACTATTATAGCAACAATTTTTTGTATTAGAGATGCTATGATAAGACAGTATTTTTTTTTTTTTGAAATTTGCAATGTGCAAATACAAATTTATTTTAATATATACATATTTTATTATAAAGAATAGAGAATAAGACGTTATTTTGTCTTTAATAATATATAAATGGAAATATTTTTACGCCACAAGTAAGCAATAATACAATATACAAACATTAATTTGTAAGAAAAAGAATAATCCTAATTTAAAATATTGTTGAAATTATATATATGTAACAAGTATATTATTGTATAACAAATAACAATCATAAAATGATCTTAGCATCATGATGTGGAACATGGTATGTCTACAAACAGAATGGTACAAACTACAATAATATGAAATTAAATTAATTAAATTCTATTTACGTATATTTTATAAAAATTTGAATATCATTTTCTTAAATTAAAATTTATTTTATAATATTAACTAACACAAAAATCGTATGTGATATTATCCCGAAGTGGAAGAAGATTGAAGACGTCGCTTCTTTTTCTTTGGTCTCGACTTTTTTTCATTTTCGGATTTTCTATATTTAGATTCTTTGCGTAATTTATGTTTTTCTTTACAATCGGAACCGTTACGATCGGAATGTTTCGTCGGATACATGTCATTTTTCGATGATATAGACATTGTTAAAATTGTACTTGCATTGGATTGTGATAAATTAAATATTCTGCTACTGGATCTATAGCGCTCCTTATCTTTATGCTTTTCTTTACGTTTTGATTTTTTCCAATGCGAATAGGATTTATTGGAATAATCACTACACTGACTACAAGATCTTAAACAATCATCTTCCGAATCTGAAGAATAACAAATTTTCTTTTTTGATTTAGACTTATATTCACTTCTTGACATATCTTTATTTATTGAGGCACTATCGTCTTGACTTCCAAACTCGTTCGTATTTCGACATTCGCGGTGCTTATGGTTCGGCCTTTTATCTCGTTCAGAAGCGTTAGAAGATATACTGTTACTTCTAGATCTAGATTGTCTGTTTTCGCAGTACTTCGGATCTTTATTCTTAGACTTTAACTTTTCCAAATTAAAAGCTTTCTCTTCATTTCTCGTTGTTTTTCCACTTTTCGCTGTATAATCGTTTGTTACGCTAGAGGAACAATCTCTTTTCGATTTATATTCTCTGTAACACTTCTTGGTTTTCATTTTGTTATCAGTCTCTGTGCTACTACTGTCACTACTAGATGAATCCTCATCTGAATAGCTTTCTTCTCTTTTAATAAGTTTTATTCGTCCTGTACCTTTAGCCTGTACTCTATATCTTGGCTTTTTCAATCGTTTTTCGTTACATTCCTTTAATAAACTTTCAGATGAGCTAGAATCACTAGAACTGGATATTCTCTTTTTTTTAGATGATTTATTTCGGCTTCCTGTCCCATCTGATCTTTTATACTTTTGTGCTTTTTTTTCTGATTTCTTTGAACGGTTTCGTCTACTTGATCTCGGATTGTTATCATTGTCAGATAAAACATCAGTACTTGACACTGAGTAAGATGACGAAGACGATCCTTTCGTCTCCTTGACATAAGACGTACTTGGTAATGATGTATTTTCCAAATATGTTCTTCTTGTAGTTGATCTAGTAATAAAATATGATAAATATTAAAAACCGCATATTACAATTATACTTATATTAATACACATATAAGTAATTTTTAAAGAAATTTTATCAATGTTTAAATGATTAAAAAATTAAACGCATTGACAACAACATGGTTTTTTTTATAACTTACTGCATATTTCCATTCAATGTATGAGAAACACACACATGCTCAGTGTCAGAAGAAAGTAACTCTATGATTTTTGGTGTTCTTTCATGACGTGGTTTTACATAACCAATTATTTCACAATCTGATTCAGAGGAACTCGATGAAACGATTAACAGTTCTGGTACAGTATTAGATGTTTCTACTCTGCGAAACATCTGTCCTGCTGCACTAGGACCTAAAATGATTATACATGCAATTTTATATGTAAAAATATATATACATATATATATTTTTAGTTGAACTGAATTTTGGATAGAATCAAATTGAACACCTTTTCTGTCCAAAATTCAACCAAAAAATTTCTTTCTGGGCTCAAATTGTAGGTACATATGTCTTTCTCAAAAGTATCAGTCTCGACAGTATTAGTGTGTTCCTCGTCCTGATGAAGTGAAAAGCAAGATTCACGAAACGTTGGCACATTAGCAATGAATTAAGATATGGCGATAACTTGCAAACCCTTGACATCTTTGAAAACTTCTTCCTTGACTGATGTTCATGAAATTGATTCACAAATCTTAAACCATTTGAGTGATTTAAGCATTCTCAATTGATACTTCGTAAACAATAGCGGTCATGTTAGGCCCGTCGTATTGAATTTCCCAAAAAGCCTAAAGTGCTAAAGAAAGTAGACATGTGTATTTTACACCTATAATTTGAGCCCAGAAAGAAATTTTTTTAATAAACTGAATTTTGGATAGGAGTGTCCGATTTGACAATGGCCCATATACGGGATGGGGCATTTTAACCGTCTTAGGCAAATATCTCAGAAACTAACAAAGGTACAGTGAAAAAGTTTTATATAAAAGTTATAGGTGTTTTCTTGGCAGAAAAAAAGGTAAAAATAATAGGTTTTGGGACATTATCAAGGTCAAATCAAGATCGAATCGATTTTTTTGGAACATCCTATTTTTGATACCAGAATTTAATAACTAGTGTCAAGAGCTTTTCAAAACACTATAATAAAGTTATTTTCCATTAAGTACTTTTCAAGTTATAAAGCTTGGAAATTACAGTACCGCCTGCACTACCAAAGGCGTCTGACCAACTCAACATGTCCAACCAATGTAAAAATAAATTTTTAGTGCAAAAATGAAAATAAAAGGAATAATCTCTAATAGTCTTGATCTTAACAAATGTTATCCAGGACATGATCCTAAACAACATTCAAGAGGTTTTAGCCGTTAGTTGAACACGTTGAGTAATGCTGTCAGCGGTACTGTAATTTTAAAGCTTTATAACTTGAAAAGTACTTAATGGAAAATAACTTTATTATAGCGTCTTGAAAAGCTCTTGACACTAGTTATTAAATTCTGGCATAAAAAATAAGATGTTCCATTAAAAAAAAAATCTATTTGATCTTGACCTAACGTTGGTAATGCTCCATATGCAAAATCTGTTATTTTTATCTTCTCTTTCCTCCAAGAAAACCTACAACTTTTATATAAAACTTTTTCCTATATCTCTCTTAGTTTTTGAGATATCCACCTGGGGCGATTAAAGTGGCCCACCCTTATATAATTATAATACATATACATAAAAGTTAAAATAGTAAATTTTTTTATTTGTTTATATGCACATGTTAGATTAAAAATGTAATACAGGATGCGATTTGCCATTTATTTCTTACCTGGCATGCTAATAGGATGTGGTAAGGTATTCGGCATTTCAGCGTTTATTCTCAAATCGATTGCTTCAGCAAGTATTCGTACATCAGAGTTGTCAAAGACAAGACTACTGCTGCTACTGCTACTGCTACTGGATGTAGGTGATTCAATACGAGTTGCATACTCATTTGATAAACCTATAATAGACATAATAATGAACTATGTATTTTGATATTTTTTGGAATTACATAATCCATATGAATAATTACCACGTGGCAAATAAGTAACAGATTGATCATATCCCACTAAATCAAAATTGGTTTGGGCAAAATTTAACAATTCGTGTGCAAAATGATCTGTATGTATAGCGAAAAAGGGTCGGACAATATTCCGAAATTCTGGACTTCTAATATCATATTGAGTTAAGGCCTCCATTATTATACTCAACACATAAGCAACATGGGTTGGTTCATTATTAAGTAAAACTTGCAACTCTCTATTTAACCATGGTATAAGACGATCTAATTGTTGTGGTTGTCTTCTGCAATATAATTGACGAACAAATTTAAGTATTATAAAGACATTTTTTAATATTGCATACAAGAATAAATAATAAAAATAAAAAAATTTATTAAAAAATTTATTTACCTATAATAATCAGCGCTACATTCACGAAAACGCCCAAATATGTCAGGTAATGAAGTAGCCCATATACCATGCCTATAAACTGTACGACGATAATCTGTAGGATTAGCACGCCTACGTCTACGTTCTTCTCTAGGCACTTGAGGTGCCATACTAGGTAATTGTTCACGTCTTGTAACCTGCTCTGGATTCAATAACACTCCGTGTCGACGACTGCCAGTCATTGTTGTTCTGAGACATTGAATAAAATTATCTTATAAATATGCAAATTGTGATAGTACAATACAATTATTCTTCTAAGTTATAAAACATATTTTTGTGTTATAAATTGTACCTGTAAACAAATTGACGAGGAGCAGATTCCCAATTGACATCAAAATTGACATCCAAAGTAGCAGTTACTTGTGGCTGAGGAATTTGCGATGCTAATTCACGAGGTACATGATATTGATCATAATCTCCTTCTGATCTTACATTGTGTATAATCGATTTGAATGTTTGCTTGCATAAAGGACATTCTGTCTTAATTTTGGACCATTGAAGTAAGCAAGTAAAACAAAATTGGTGCAGACAACTGTCTGTGAAAGATGTATTAACTAATTTTCCCAAGCAAATGCTACAATTTGGAGGTGGAGAAGCTGCATCGCTTCGCTCGTTATTATCAGAATTTTGTACGAGAACTTCAGATTTTATAGGCTCCTCCACACCTGCACTGGAGTTCTTTATTTCTAATGGGCCTTCCATTGTTATCTATTATAAATGTCCATTCGTGAAGAAATTTCTATAAAATAAAAAGATATATAAATATACAACAGTAATTTTTTATTCAATATTAGAATAAGTGTAAGATTTGAATAAATATTAAAAGACATTTATAAGATAATATTCTTGAGGCTTCCACAGGTGCTTTCTATATAAAGATCATGCGTTTCGCAGATTTCTTCCATGTCCAGATCCATTCTTGGAATGGATACTCAAGCTGTTCCTCGCCCTGATGAAGCATACTGCAAGGTTCATGAAACGTTGGCATTCCAAGAATGGATCTGGACACAGAAGAGACCTGCAAAACGCATGATCTTTATACATTTATAAGATATTATTTTCACAAATAAATCATATAATTACTAATATAAAATATGATAATGAATAGAATTACGAGTGCAAAAGTAAGTTATACATACATAAAAGATGAATAGGATATTAATAAATTGTAAAAAACATTATCATTAACGTAAATTATATGTATATTTAAAATAATTAATCACTTAATGAATGAAATTAATGAATAAAATCTAACTTTTAAGTTTCAACTTAATGTGTGATAATCGAAATTTATATATAGTATAAAAAATATTGCGATTCTTTCACAAAGCTTAAATGAATTTGTATGAATCAGCATATATCTCGTTACATTATTTCGTATTCTATTGCGTGTGAAATAGAAAGATAGTAGAGATTGACGCTTGCAGAGCGTTTTTCATACACAGTGCATTCATTTGTGCATCACAAATTTTCTCATTTTATAGTAATGAGACGAAAAATGACTTCAATTCGATATAGAAAATGCCGAATGTTCGATTAGAAATCATATGGAACGATCGTTAGAGGATACTTGCACTTTGGATAATTACACTCAAGAAATGTATTTCTCATAGAAAAGCGCGTTGATGGCAGCTTGGCGTATCGTCGATGCGTTTCTTCACGTCATGCGTCAGTATCTTTTTTTCTTTATAAGCGTTACTCTCCACCCTTCTGCTTCCTTTATTACCTGCTTTCGTTTCCGGTATTAGGTATTATGCGATACTGTAGCTGTATATATGTAAAAATCCGCAAATGTCGAGTATTCCAGAATACTCTTCTACCGTGATATCTGTCTACGCGAATAAATACGTTCTTACAGTAACCTCCAATAACTTTCTACGGTAAATTCCTACGAAAACTGCATGAGAGGTAAGAGCCGTGTAACGCAATGTTCCCCCCAGGGTCGAGAAAAAGCTTTACCACTCGTATTCGACAAGCTGGCGCTACTGCGCATGCGTGCATTTGTCTCATTGTCAGTCTCAATTTCATCTGGGGAAATATAAATTTTCTTTTATAGCTATAAAGTAAACTTTTTAATTGGATTATACTTGCAGGAAGAGGGCGATAATATACTCTCGTGTAAGGTTGAGAATTATCTCTTTTTGTACTTTGAGTTTATTTTGTGAGTACTAAAGAATAAAATTAACAAAAGCAATTATTTTATACGACGTTCAATTATATATATTTAAAAGTAAAAAATAAGTTCATTACAAAAAAAATTTAGTTATATTTATGAATAAAAAAATAAAATTGTAACACATTTAATCATTTATGATTTTATAAATTATGACATAAATAAGTTCTTTTTTTTTACATATATTTTCTTATAATTTATAGATTATCTGAATATGAAGAAGTCTTTTATTGTTGTACCGATAAATGTGAAAAAATCACTCATTATTTGAAATGGCGATGTGTGTTCTTCGTTGTTCGATGTGATCGAGCAAGAACTTGTTCCATGCATCGTTGTCATTGGAAGAGTCTAAGGAAAAGACCGAATGTTATTTTGATAAACGCGTTTCATAAATATAATTATGTAAAATGCATTTCTATTCACCTCATAATTGCTGTGACTTGATTTTTTTAAACATCTATGAGTAGATATAGATTGTGTATTTTTATTTTTACATAATTTCAGTTTTGTATTTTTTACTTGGAGGGAAGTATGATCAGATTTGGAATACTCATTTTGTTTAAATCTTTTGGTAGAAAGAGATAAACAAATATTATTACTTTGAGTATTCTCATCCATTTCATTATCCTTTTTAAAGTATATTATATTGGAGGTGTCCAACGATACCTAATATGTAATATAGAAAAATATCTATGTTAGTTTATTATTATATCTTTTAAGATAATCTATCTGTAATATACAATCTATCTTCAATCAATTGACACTTTTGTGTTAAACATCTCAAAAATTAATACTACCCAGTAAAGGAGAATGGATTAAAATGAATTGAAATTTTTTTTCTATTTGAATGCATATTTTAAATAGCAAATACTTTTTTTTTATTTAATTGGATTCAATTGGATTCAATCAGATTCAATTGGATGCAATTGAATTGAAAAACTGCATTTCCTATTCAAAATTTTGAATTGAACAGTATTCACAATGCACAGAAAAACCTAATATTATTTTTAGATTAAAAGGCATAGAGATATGCTCCATGCAATTCCTATAAATGAATAAAAATGCATTCAGGATTGAAAAACATTCATTTTAACATTCGTGAATCAATATTTATGAAAATCTGAATCCATTTCAATTCATTTCAATCCAGTCTTTGCTGGGTAGCAACTTACATGTGAAAAAGAATATGTTTATACCTGTTCATCTTTTATACATCTTTTTCTTTTAATAGGTTTTTTTGGTATATCATCTGATGAAAACTCATTAATATTTTTATGTCTAAGTGGCTTTCTTGAGCTACTTTCTTTTCTCAAAGTTTGTCGACATTCGGTATACTGAAAACAAAATAATACATAATATGTTAAATAGAAAAGCTAAAAGTACCAGGATTATATCTTTTTCTACATTTTTAATAATGGAACAAATACTTTTTTAATAGCACTTTGTATCGATTGTATCCATTCGGCACTATCCGCATTTTCTGAGTATAATAAGAATGTTTCATGCAAGCATGTTATACGGAACAATTTTTTGCTCAGAACGCAGATTAAACTGCACTTGTTTAATGGTAGAACGCAAGATATGTTCAGTGATGTCTCTGGTTCACCTTTACAATATAACAGAGTGTCATTTAAAAGAACAAAATATCGTCTATAAGTTGAATTGCCTCGTCTTGAAACACGCATCAATGGTCCTTGTTTGATTAACATTCTACCAGGCTTGACAAGGTTAATAGAAGTAACAATGCACTTCTGAAGATTTAATAATTTTTGTGTTTCTTCATTTTGTGCGATTAAAGTATTTATGTGTTTCGCTGATTTTTCAATTTCAACTAAACATGCTGCAATTAAAATTTAGTTAAAATTATGCTAAAAACGTACATTCAAATATTATACATGTGAATTTTTTGGCGAATCTTAATAATATACTTACTCTGTAAATGTCGATATTCTCTATGTCTATAAGGAGTATGTTGTAATACTTGTTTAACAAGTAATTGATATCTTGGTACCCTTTGTACTGGTGTAATTAACAACGAAGACAATTTCCTGCCTACTTCTGGTCTTGTTTCTTGATCACAAATAAATTTTTTAAAAACAGAATCATTCTCTTCATTTGTCTGAAAAGATAATCTCACAGATAAATTTTAACATCTTTTTTGGATATATTTTAACAAAAGTATTTTTTGATATTAAAATAATCAATGAAAATATGCATACGTATGTATATTTGAACAAATATTCATATCAAAATATCTACATCTGTAAAATATTAATAAATCAAATAAAATTAATTGCTTTTACAATCGATAGGATAAAAGTATAGATAAATTTATTCAATTAAATAATGATATTATATACGTTTCAATCCTTTGTTCAAGTTCTCTTCAATATAATAATAATAAAATTTAAATAACTCAAATATATGTATAATAATAAAACATGCAATAAAAACGCTCGGATTGTCTCCTAATTAGTCATACAATATGTTTAATCTAATGTGAAATATTGGCGCTCATATTGATGATTTGATAAATAAATCATGCTAATTTTTCACGAATCATATACATAATTAAATTTTAATAATAATTTTTTCATAATACTTGACAATTACCTGTAATAAATTTAGTACTTGTGTATAATCATAAGCATAAACAGAATATAATTTAAAGAATGGTGCAAGTTTATGGAACACTCCAGCTATGTTATCAGAATTACGTTTTAATTCTGCCACCAGTTCACCACTCACATTATATAACGTCTTTATGTTTTCAGCTAGGGTGACAAGTAATGGATGGTCCAACAATTTTCTCTCGAGAATAGGTTGTATAAAAAACTAAAAAAACATATATATTGTACATACACACATATACATATATATATATTTTTATTATTTATATCAATAATATGAGTATAGTAATAGAAAATATACTTCTGCTAAAATTTCCAGTTGTTGTAAATAAGTAACTTCTGTAGTGAGTATTTCTTGAATGGCTTGTGATCTCAGAATTTTTTCTTTTTCCTCTGTACATTTTTCATTATCTTCATTTAAAGCATGTAGAACTGAAAAAAATTATGATGTAAAACTTGCTTAAGTAATTACAGTTAACGGATATATAAAAAAAAAGGTATAAAAAATTATACCCTTCATACGGCTCCGCATGCTCAACATATTTCTTTCATTTATAATTTGTCTTAATTCTGAACTAAGACTAGCTTGAGGCGACAACGGTGAATACATAGTTATATATATTATTTTTGCACATAGAAAATAAATTGACAATAATATAATAAATTCTATATTTTATTCTATTTAAAATAGAATATAATATAATATTTGAACTCTCCTCCGAAAATTTAAATAAAGACAGCTTGATTATTCGCTACTGTTGTCGGTTTGACATAGTTCAGCACGGTGTATGTACAGCACTGTGGTGCACTATATATACGTACAGTAATATGGTACAGTGTGTTGTGTACGTTAAAATTTAAATGGAGTTTGACAGTAGAAATAGCAACACCTGTTTACTTTAGGCCGGTATTCATAGTCAGTTCTTTTATTCAAGACCATCTTCAGTTCTGAAGTATCAACAACCAATCAAACAGCCGCATTAGCATCTTAACATAATGGCAGCGTTCAGCGGACTCAACAGTTGAGTGAGCGCTTGCTGTTATTGGTGTATTCTTTTGGATCATCCAGTCAGTATTTTAGATCTGGAAGAATATATCTATCAGCGAATGCTTACTCAACTGTTGAATCCATTGAACGCAGCCATTACTAGAGTCCTACATATAACAGAACCGCCACCGCTGTCACGATTTCTGATTGGTTCCGCCATTTTTTTTATGGATAGTCGCGCGAATCTTCTAGAACTCTAATTTCGATAAGTATCATTATTTTTAAATCTTGATATGTATACTGTAGTCTCCAAAGAAAATTTCTTTGTAGTCAGTAGAAACACTACTGTTATAGCAATCGCACTCCGTTTGCGGACAGATGTAAACACAGGTCGCCATCTTTTCTTTAGACGATCCCTTTAAATATGTCCGGTGGCGCTTCTCTGTTACATTTAGGACTCTACTTACGATTAGAGAGCCTAAGGGTGCAATTACATGTATTGCGGTACGCGGTACAGAAACTAACTAGATAACTATAAGAACCAGGCAAACCGTGCCGCTTACTTCTTGGGTAATATTTTATTTGTGCATTTTTGTCGTACGACAAATTTTTCAAACTTATTGATTGACTATGGGATAGAAATATCCGAAGACCTCTCTATTCTGTACACATTTGTCGAATGACAAAAACGAAAAATGAAATAGTACCGTATGGGTGCGATTACATGTAGCACGGTACAGAAATTAACTAAGAAGGTGAAAATTACAAAAGTGAGCAAATTTACTAGGTGTTGATCAATGAAATTATTAGTATTCTAATAAATTCGCTCACTTTTGTAATTTTCACCTTCCTTAAAGATATAGAATCGACCCTCTTGAAATGAGGTAAAAATTACAAAAGTGAACAAATTCACTGGAATATTTATAATTTAATTGATCAATATCTAGTAATCATTGCTCACTTTTGTAATTTTCACCTCATTTCAAGGGGGTCGATACACTATCGAGCGTTCTGATTGGACGCAGACATCAAAAGTTCCATAGGCACGAAAGAGATTGGAGAAATCAGGACTCTTATTCTTGAAAAGTATCGCATACGCAACTAGGAAAATGATATAGTATGCGTTACATATATAATATTATAGAATTTCTTTAGCTTTTCGTATACGATACTTTTCAAGAATAGGATTTTTAGTCTTATGGCTCCCATCCTGATTGGATGCGATCAGAATGCGATTACACGATACACGGTAGAACTAATTAGGCAACTATAAGAATTGCGCAAACTGTACCGTTTGCTTCTTTTCTTTTGTAAAGTATATGTAACATAAATTTTTTATTTTTTTGTAGTGAATAGCAGAATCTCATTTCCAATCTCTATGATGGCCGGAGTGAATAACGTAACTAGTTCAAAAAATTAATAGTTACACTGACAAGGGGAACTAATAATGACCAGGTGACTAATAATAGAAAACTAATCATGTTTTGTAGACATTCATTGTACGGGATGATATTAATCATAAAAATAAGAAAAACATAAATATTTATTATGAACATCTTACAAATGAATTTTGGAATGAATTTTATTTTAGAATAAAAAATTTTGTTTTCACCAAAATTGATTCCTAAAAGAAGCTATTTTCATAATGGCTATCAAATCTGCTTTTCGCCAGATATTAAAAAAAGTTATTGTGTCTGCAACAAAAATTTTCGTAAGATATTCACAATGCAGTAAATATTTATGTTTTTCTTGTTTTTATGATTTATATCATCCCATACGTTTACAATGTACATCTACAAATCACAATTATTTTCTATTATTATTAATAAATCGATTAATAAATTATTATTAATAAATCGAATCTTAAAAACAAGATTACATACATATGACTTACTTGTGTGTTCCTAATTATAATTTCCAATTTCTAATTTCATCAGAAATCGTAATAGTTTTCATTACAATCTTATTTATGTGTTCATATGAATAACAACAACGACGACGTTAACGATGATAATAATAAATATTTCATAAATGTGTGTTTAATTATCTATAAAATTAATATGTAATTTCATGAAATTTTATTGCAATTAAAAAGTAATTAAAACTAATAACATTAAATAAAATTTATAAAGATATTGATATTTTCATTTATACAGTACGTTTTTCAAATTATTATAATAATTATTTAAATAATCGATTTCTTCGAAACTATGGACCTGACTATTGGCTGAAACGGTCGGACACGTGTCGTTTTTTTCGCTCAAGAACAGCCTGTAAAAAGCGCATAAAAATTCCTAATCCCATCACTTGATATTCTTGTGAGTAAATTAATCAGATAAAACCCGGTAAAAAATTTTTCATGCATTAATATGTATAAATATATATAAACGAACATAAACTTTCATAAACATATATAATTATATATGAAATATGTCCATACATGTTTATACATCCTTTTTTTCTTTTATAAAATTACTTTTTAATATAATAGAAATAATAATAGTAATATGAAAATATTAAAAATAATTAAAAAGGTAATTTTCGCACTATTTATTTTAGAAAAAATCAAGTTTGAAGAAATGTAAAGAAATTACTTATGTATAATTATATATAAAATTATGCTTAATTATGTATGAGTAATTTTGTTTACATTTTTCCAAACTTGTTTTTTTCTAAAGCAAACGTAAAAGCAATTGCGAAAATGATCTC